TGTGTGTGTGTGTGTGTGTGTGTGTGTGTGTGTGTGTGTGTGTGTGTATCTCAAGGGCTATTTTCCCCTTGGGACACTTCCACACGGAGAGTTCCTCTCATGTGGCATCAGCTGGGCATGCAATGCCCTGTTGTTTTTTCTTTGTGTGTGTGTGTGTGTGTGTGTGTGTGTGCATGTATTTGAATGTAGCTGGGCATAATCATTTGTGCAGATGCCTACAACTTTTGTATACTTGTGTGACCCTGGCGTGTAGTGTATACGTATGGACATAAACACCATTTTTTTAAATGTATAATGAGATGTTGATGAATGAATGTACATTTAAAAAACAGAACGATGAAAAGACAACAGAACATAAAATACTATCATGAATAATTTATAACTCGGTGTGCGGTCTGAGCTGATTTCACCTCCTCTCTCATCCATTCTGCAGGACTCTGAGATGATGTTTCAGCCAGAGTCCGATCAAATTTCTCCGGTGGAACCAAAGGTGAGAGAATATACGCAAACACACACAAGCATTTCAAGTCATCTATAAGTTAAATTAATAAAAGAAAATATAAATATTGAGCATTCTGCAGAATGATTTCAAGGGTCAATTTTAATGGTGGGCCATGTTTTTCTAGTCTTCCGAGAGTGAAGATTATAATAATGATAAATACACTGTGAGTGAAAACAACCTTTCCAATCTGACTGATGCTTCTAGTTTCCGCCTCTGGACCTGATTGACACAGGGAAGGGGCTGAAGGTCCAGACAGCCACACCTCATCTGGTGAGCCTGGGCAGTGGGAGGCTCAGTGTGGCAATCACCCTGCTGCCACTAAAAGAAGGTAACACACACACACACACACACACACACACACACACACACACACACACACACACAGATATAGCATAGAAACACATACCCACTGGGTTAAGAATACCGGGTCATACAGTATAGCCATTCCTCTTCCCAATGCGTCATAGAGTTTTTTATAATGAGTGTAAAGTCATGTAAAGCTGTCATCGATGGAACTAGACCTTTGCAGTCCCCTCCCCTCCCTCTTTTCCCTCCTTCATTGCTTTGTTTCTCTGCCTCTCCCCTCTTTTTGCCTTCTCCCTGCCCATCCATCGCTTCATTTCCATGTTACTGGAGCAGTGTGTCTGTGTGTGTGATAGGGGAAAGTGAAACCTATGCTGGGTCACAATAAAGTCAAAACAAGGAGTCAACACTACTTCCTCCCACAGGGCTCCTTTAGACTGAAGACATGTAGTTAAACAAATTACTACATCCACATCCCTGGTTATTTATTTTTATTGTCATTGGGGAGGAAAATGACCCCACTTATTGGTTGGTGCGCAGGCTGAACCCACATCTAAACGTACAAAAATGAAGACAGCACTGCGCTAGCAGACTGCAATCCAAACACAAAAACACATGAGTATTTATAGTGTCTCTTTCATCAGCTATCCACAGGTGTCTTGCACTCATTCTCCCTCAATCACTTTTCACCCCTCTCTTTCATACACAGACACACACACACACACACACACATGCAGACAAACATACATTCATTGAATCAGCAAGCCACAGGTGCCATAGCTTAATTATTATTCCAGCAAGTTGGCCAAACACATGACAGCAAAGCGATAGGAGCGAAGATAGTGAGATCTACAACATGATATAGTGAAAAACAAGCTTGTACAACTGATTCAAATTCAATAGCCTGCAGATGGAATACGAACACAATCTGACATTAGATTAAAAGCATTAAACTTAAGTGAGTATCTGTCCTTAGATAACACTCGTGGCTCTCACATATACACTTTCAGAGTTGACATGTCTTGTGCGGATCACAAAGCTCTCATTGTATTCCTAATACAGGGAGACAGACTCTTTTTGTTTCGCCTCCTCAGCCAGGAGAGCAGTGCAGTTCAAAGATTGTGATAGATGGATTGATTTAAGCTGCGGCAAGTATGAAAAATTATTAACTACAGTATGAACAAAGTGTTTTACGATATTACACAGTGGATGGTATTCAAATGATACGTACGGTAAAGTCAGCAATGTGACATTTTATGTTTTACGTCATTATATTTCTTGCGTAACTTCTACACAAGGGCTCGGTGTGCCCTTCCATTTCAGTGAGGAATGCCAACCATGTGAACAGGCCATTTTAGGAGAACTGAGGGTCTATTTTTCTCCAGAATCTGTCGACTGAAAAAAGAAGAAGCAGTTGAAATTGACAATACTGAAGTGCCCCTTTAAAATGTGGATCACAGACCGCCCATGTGGTTCAAAAAGACAATTGTACTTTTGCATTTCTATCATTTCTATTTGCATATTGCTTGATGTTTCAGGGGTGACCCGCATTGGCCGAGAAGATGCTCCAATTCCTCAAGACATCACTATCCAGGGTCCTGGCATCGAGGCGGAGCACTGTCTCATCTTCAATGAAGGTTGATGTCAGTTCACGCAGCACAAAATGAATTCACATTATAAGCCAGGCCTCTGAATTAAACAGTTGTCATTTCGGGACTGGCAAGTGTGTACTAAGATTTCTACCCAGTTCACAACTGCACGTTGTGTTGGCCAATGACTCATTTATTTAAGAAGGCTTTTGAATAAAAAATACTGAATCTACAAAAAAAAACAAATCTGACAATGAAGTGAGATTACAATATTTGAAAACATTTTGTCAAAGCCGAAAAGAGATGATCCGCTAAATACAGTAAGTAAAAAAAAAAAATCAAGAGTCATCTGTATGTGTTTTAAAATGATTATTTTAACAAAACTGCAACAGAATCTGTTAGAATTAGCATATCACACCAGCACAATCTTTAATTTGTTTCAATAATAATAAGGTTTCAAGATAAATATAGCACTGAGTGAACTATTAAGATGGATATCTTTCAATACTTTGTCAGTGTATTGTGTGAATGAAAAGACAATTATCTTTGAAGAGACAGTGATTGATTGCACTGATGGTTTTTTGTGTTCCTCTGTGATACATCCTGTATAATTACTACGCTAAGCATTCAGACCAAAGCCCTGTAGTGAAGATGGAAATAGCATGGCTTTGTGTGTATGTTATAATTAAACGTGGTAGTGTAGTTAGATGGCATCTTTCAACAGGGAAGAACGTCTGAGTGAAGGATGATGTCGAAACTTTAGCTGCTTTACTTTAAACCGAAGGTGTACTGATCCCCTACTTTCTCATCATTACCTGTGACACAGGAGGGGTGGTGACCCTGGACCCCTGTGGTCACCTCTGCAGTCTGGATGGAGCACAGGTCACTGTGCCCACACCACTCACACAGGGTAAGATATGCACACACACACACACACACACACACACACACACACACACACACACAGTATAGCTCAGTCAACTCTCAGGGAGGGCCTATACAATAGACTGTATATAAGAAAGCCCACACACTCTACTTCCGGTATTTCATTTGCTTGTGCACAACCAGGCACACACACATGTACATGTTTGATATACTGCCAGCTACTGGTCAGTGAAATAGTTGGAGTGAAAGTTGACTTAACTTCATTGAGTGTGCATACTTTCAGTGTTAAATAACTCCCCTGTGTGTGAAAAAAAGAGAGAGTGGTTAGTTCGTGGTTCGGTTAACTTGCATTTCTTTCAGTTTGTGTATGAGTCATATGGGTACAGTTAACATTGTGCTGACGCACACGAACAGCACGGCGTACAGTATGTTTGTGTTTGTGTGTGTGTATTTCACATAAATGCATGGGCCTGTGTGTGTGTGTGTGTGTGTGTGTGTGTGTGTGTGTGTGTGTGTGTGTGTGTGAGCATTTCCACGTGTTTGCGTATGTGTTTTGAATGATGTAGTGGATGTGCGTGAACCTCTGGTTTGGTTTAATTCCTTGTGGTTTGGAACAGCGAGCTGCTACAGTGAGTCACCGCTTCCAGCAACGGCAGAGCGTACCCTGCACATCAAATTCTGTTATAGAAGACTGCAGAAGACTTGCAGAACACACACACACACGCACACACACACACAAACAAACTGAGGATCCTCCCAAATTCTAATGCATTTATTTTTTTTATAATTCTGTCCACCATGTGTCTGTTTTTCATCAGCTAGTATCTTGATCTTTCATCTGTGTGCACTCTATCTTCTTCTCTCTTCCCCCAAATTCCCTTTTCATGGATTTACTGAGTTGCACAGCACTCCTTGTTTGACTGTTTTTTGCACCTGGCTTCTCCTTCTCCATGTATCCATCCTTTCTGTGAACCCTTCTCATTATGGCCTGGCCATTTCAAGTTAAATATTGACAGGCCTATTTATCTTCCCGCTGTGCCGGGCTGATTCAAATATTGACATCATCTTGGTGTGTCTACACACGAGGCTAGGGCTTTGTGAAGTCTCAGGGGTGGAGAGAAGGACTGAAAGAGAAAAAGGGGTTAAAAAAAAAAGAGTCAAGAGGGCATGGTTTGGAAAATTATGGAGAGCGAGAACATCTTTCAGGAATATCATCTGGCCTCAAATGCTTTTGGTTGAGTTGTCTAACCACACACAGAGACACACACACACACACACACACACACACACACACACACACACACACACACACACACACACACGTACACATGCACACTGTGGAGCAGCCTGGAGATGATTAGCTATGTTTAGGAAGTGATCTGTTCTGTATTTGGGACTTCAGAGCTTGACCTGGAATCACATCAGTTTCACTTCTAACTAACCTGAACAGCTGGAAGTTGTTGAATATGTCCATACAGCATAACAGCAGATTTGCAATGATGACAATAGAACTCATCGTACGCCAATAACAACAGTTACAAACAAGCAGTATAACTACAGGCTTTCTTCTTCTTAGAAGAGAGTTAGTTAGAGAGACTGCCCTTAAGGCTAACTGAGGCTTGGGGGAGAATTTAAAAAGCTTTTCCTTTTCTTGCTTGCTTTACTCCCTCCCAGAATCTTCCATTTTTTTATGTAGCCAGTCTGTCTGTCTGGTTTACCCCCATACTATTCTCTGCCCCTTCTCCACTGTTGCTTTGTCTCAAGTCAAATTAATTAATTGCAGCATGAATTGGTTTGTCATTATAATCTAAGCAAGCCACCAGGTTTTTTAAGTCAGTAGCTATTGTCCAGCTGTTTTGGGGTTACACTGGTCCAAGGTATTTCATAGAAAAGAGAGAGAAAATAATAGGTAGACAAAGAAAAGCTGAGGGGGCGTCCACCAAATACCTCACTGTCTAATAGCTCTTGAACCTACCAAATCTAGATTAGGGTGATGGCTTATTACACTGTTAGTTTACATATGGTTTTAACTACTCAAAAATTGTGTTTTTTTCTCTTTCATTTGGCGTTTTAAATATCTCAACCTTCAACGTTGCTATTAAATTCCTCGACAGTATGTTAAATAGTCTGCTCTCGTAAATCTTGAACCTGTTACCCCTTTTTACCGCGAGTTGGTACAGTCCCGTACTCAGACTCGTGGATGGTAAATCAGTGAACTTTCTTACACACGCAGTCAAGACGGGTGAGGAGGCGGCTCGCTGGCGAGAGATAGAGAGAGATACAACAACACAGGCACCGCCAGGACTCTAGCTAGACTGCGTTTTACTTTTATAGAAAAAAAAAGTGAATTTAAGGTCCGGTCATTATCATTTGTTAGACGTTGAAAGAAAACAACGACAATAAACAGCTGTTATTGTCGTGAAACGTGCTCACTGAATGGGACTCAAAAGGTATGTAACGGATTTAAATGTTGCTAGCTAAAGTTAACTTTCAACAAAAGTAACAAAGTAACATGTTGCATGTAAATGCATTTACTTAAGTGCACTGCACCTTTTTAAATTAGGCTTATTTCATACTTAGGCTGTACCACCTTAAATACAGTCTATGGCTATACACCCCACTACGTTTTTCTTGAATGAACTAAGGTTAGTGTGTTGTAGGCTAACGTTACTAATTTATGACGCTTAACACCTTACAGGTGTAGTAGGCTAGTTGTAGTTTATTTGGAGGTAGTCTGTCTGTCTGTTGCCCATACGTGGTGAGTGTGTTTGAATCGGGTTTTGGCTTTTACTCTCTCTAACACACACACAGTTACGTAAAGGATGGCTGATTCACATTCAAACCAACATCTGCCCGCGCGCTCATGTGTTTTATGAACACACTGTATTAAAACCAGCCTGTCAGGCTCTCTGGAAAGGTTGGGCAATGTTATTCCCATCAATCGATACATTTGTTTATTTGAACCCTGTCCTATGAGCACAGTTGGCTGCTTCGTATCAGTCCCGCATACTGTCGGCTCATCAGCTGATATTATTGATGTCCCTTCCTCCCTTCTGATTGGCTGCAGTGCAAGCCATCACAGATACAAATTGAGTCTGTCACCATAAATCAATGGTAATAATATATAATAATAATACTTTTTGCATTTAAAAAAAATGCTATAAGCCAGCTTCACATGGTGTTGTTTAAGTAGAGGGTATATTAATTATTGCTGCTCCTCCTGTGATCCAAGCCACTGAGTGGTGAAATTTATAATTTTTTTTTTCATATTACCAGCCATCTTTTGGAGGCGTTTCATCACAACCTGGTGGCTGTAGCATATTGTCTGCAGCTTTTGGTGGATCATAAATGAGCCTGCAAGTGTACAGACTGGTGTGGTGTGAGTGCACGTGACAAAGAGAAGCAGCCCACGGCGGTGAGGACTGGCTCCGTGGTCAGGATACCGGACACCTGAAAACAAAACCGGCCTCATTGTCATGGATGTTATTGTGTTCACAAGTCTTTCTTCTGCCTGCCTTCAGCACATTTTTTTTAGGGACTTAAAAGAAGAGAACAATCTTTAAACCAGATGAATACGGTATAAATCCTTTGTTATCAGTTGTCATGGTGTTTCTGTTTAACTTTTCTTTCTTTTCATTCTGATAGATTAGAGTTTGTTTATAGTTTATATACCATGGTTGTCCCTTTTGTGCGTCGATAGGTTGATGCTTTGTGGATGAGATTTGAGATGAAGCAGAGAAGATATCTACTGAGCCTCTGGTGAAGAGCTAGATTTTATATATATGTATATGTATGTATGTATGTGTGTGTGTGTGTGTGTGTGTGTGTGTGTGTCTAAACTAATCTACAATGACTCCCCTGAGAAAGACCAGTCTGTTTTCTTTATGCTGTTACTGCTGGACCCTTGTGCCCCAGAGGGGGTTCATTTGTGGTTTTGAGGCCTATTAACACTCCCACTGGGACCTTGTGTGTACGCATCTTTTCATGAATGAGTAAACTCAGTTTATGTTCAGTCCCATAAAGATTTGAGGGATTACAGCAACATTTTGAAGCCAACCAGTTTTATCAAATGATGTGCGTTTGGACATTCCTGGTGATTACTTTTGATATCTGTGATTACTTTGCATGTCAAACCTGACCAATTAGCAGGTAAGTAAGGTAGAGAGAGTTTCATCCAAGAAACAGTTCGACATGGGATCTATGCATTTGGTTTATTTTTCATTCTAACCTAATGGTCTCAATTTGGCAATTCCTCCACTTATGTTAACCAAATAGAGAAACCGTTTTGAGTTTCCTCTTCCCAAACACTGCGGTGAGAGTGTAGTTGGGGTCGCTCAGATCTACATGGAAACAGAAATTGTCTCCAGCCGTGATACAGCTCCTACATCTGTGCCCTCAAAGACTCTGAGGTCTGCCTTTGTAGAGCACACACTTTAAATTATCCTATAAATGTATGTACAGACTAATTTCCAGTCTTCTTGTCGTGGGAGAGGGTCTCTCCATATATATATGTGTGTGTGTGTGTGTGTGTGTGTGGGAGGGGGGGCATGCTTTGATGTGGGAGGCAAATTCAATTTGCTGGTAATAAAGTGAACATGTAAATGAGATTAAACGTGTTTTGTTGGATGGTGTGTCTGTGTGTGTAGGTTAAAGGGAGTTGGCATGTGTTCATGTGCAATCTATTTAGGACAGCAGACTTCAATTTAGTTTGTGTGCAAGCAGTTAGGATTAGCATTTGTTTTTATTGAATGTGGCGGCTGCTGTGTGTTCCCTTGTAATCTTATCACAGATGGATTTTAGGAGCAAGGGTTAAGAAAAGGTTTGCAGTAATCCGGTGTTTGTTTGAGAAAGCAAGAAGCGACGCAAAGGTGGAATCATCAGGTTTTATAAATATACAAGGACAACTTGTGAATTTCTCATCCTTTCTTTGTTTATCTCTGTCACAAACACACACGTACTGCTTGTATTTGTTCATGCTGAAGGAAGGCAGGATTAGCTAGTAGTTCGTTAGCTAAGAAGCACTGAGAGGAAATTAGATCGGCGGGGGGAGCGGGGGCTGTGAACAAATCATGGCGACACACTTTACCCTCCACTTTAAAGGTGGCACATGGTGAGGCTATTGAGGGTAGGAAATTAGATTTTTACAAGAGCTGACTGCTGGCTGTGTGTGTGTGTGTGTGTGTGTTTGCTTGCTTCTCTGCTAAATACTGAGAGTTACTGTGAGTCATTAGGCAGACACTGTTAGGAGACATGTCTCCACACACAGATTAACAGAGCATGCACAACATTTCAAAGACACGCACACACATTAATCAAGTCCGGCAATGAGACACACGTATTATTAGATCATTACCACACATATCACACGTGTGTGTGTCTGTTTTTCTGTCATTATAATAAAAAAAACACATCTTTTGATCTCTCGTGTCATGATGCCACTGCTTCACAATTTGCGGCCAAACCTGCAAGATTGTGTTTACATGGGTATGTATTTGAGAAGTTCACAGTCCAGCTGTGTAGACTAAACATTTCTTACAGTTGTTTTCGTGTGTGTGTGTGTGTGTGTGTGTGTGTGTGTGTGTGTGTGTGTGTGTGTGTGTGTGTATGTGTGTGTGTGTGTGTGTGTGGTGTTAGCTCCACCTCACCACAGCACTCAGGTCCCCCCCCCCCGTGCGGAGAAATTACAGCTTTGAAGACAAAAGAAATCTGCCAAGACAACGTTTAGACAGATACGACCTAGCTAACCTGTCACCGCAAAATTTTGGCCATGAGCTCAACTCTTCAGTGGAGGTGTTTGTGAAACTGGACACAAGGCCGAGAGTGAGAAAGAACACAGGACACAAAGTGAGATGAGAACGAGAGAAGGCAAAAGAAAGAGAACCAACATTGACATTTTTTCATTCAGTCTTTTTCCATTCGCCCTCTCGCTATCCCCCCCCCCCCCCCCTCTTGCCTGTGTCTGACTTCAGGTCCAAGGAATCTGATGTAACTGCAATGGAGCTATTAAGGAGGTGCTTTTTTAGCCTTTTACACACATGCTAACATTGTGGGGGTTTACTGTAATGCTTATCTGAACCTTCTGGGCGGGGCGGGGGTGGGGGTTGAAAGAATGGAGAGAGCAAAGAGATTGTGTGTGTGTGTGTGTGTGTGTGTGTGTGTGTGTGTGTGTGTGTGTGTGTGTGTGTGTGTGTGAGAAGACAGACAAATGAAAGGGGAACTCTTTGTTTATTAGCCAGTCTTGTGATCTTCTCTCGACTTTGTTGTCCACTCCTCTTTGCACCAGTGAAGTCGTTTCATTTGTTTTCTGCTGTCTTTCTACTTTTTCACTTTTCTTCTGTGTGTGTGTGCGTGCGTGTGTGTGCGTGTTAGCACTGCTGTCTCTCTCCCTTCCCTTCTGAGGTATTTGGACAGCTGTGGCTGTCTGTGTGTATTACAGAGGTTGTGACCCTGACATCTTGTTTAATACCTGGCCCTCTCAGCCTAATTGATGGCCAGAGCAAACACTGTGGTCCGGAATGGCTGGCTGTGCCCGAGAGTGTGCAAGTGTGTTTCTAGCTGTGAATACAAATTAAAAAAAGCTGTACCTACGACTGCCTCTTCATACATACAGTACTATAGCGTTTGTCACCATGGTCTCCTACGTTTTACCTTACGCGCGTCTGTGTGTTCTCTCTCCAGGTTATTCCCTGTGTCTGGGTAAGTCCTATTTCTTCCGGTTCAACCATCCCGAGGAGGCAAGCAGAATGAAGAGCATGCTTCCACAAAAGAGCCCTGTGTCAGCTTTAGCCTACAACACAGGTACACACACACACACACACAAACCCCTTCTCTGACCCATGACCCACTTGATCCCCGCTCTTTTTCCTTTGTTTCTCCTCTCTCTTTGTTCCGCCACATCACTGTCTCCTCTTCTACCTCCCTCCCTCCTTCATCTCGCTCATCTATTCCATCTGCTTCTCACCTGTTCTTCCTTTGTAGTTTTTCATCAGCTTATTCTCCTCACACAACATCTGTCCCCACAACTATATTCACTCCTATGTCCTGACAGGGATCTCAGGGTTACAGTTACAGGTACACACGACCTAGACAGGTGTGTGTGTGTGAGATTGGCATGTTGGTCTTGAGTATGTCTGTTACACACATGTGACAGACTGAAGGGTAGAGTTCAGCCGTCCTCTCAGTATTTCCTAAACATATACTCTCACTGTCACACACATGCTAAAAATGTAAATTCAATTCATATAGGAATGTTATTGTCATCTGGTGCCTCTCCATTTCCATGGCGATACAGCTGGACTCCGCTGTCTCCTTAGTGATTGATCGGGCTTGGAGCAAGGTGTGAGTGTGTGTGGGAGTGTGAGTGTGTGTGTGTGTGTGTGTGTGTG